AAAGTCTGGGTGAAGGAAGAGTTCTTCACTAATTTTGTAAGCAGTGCTGCCTGACTCCCAGGGACAGTCAAACCAGGTGTCTTACCTGGGTAAATAAGATATTCACAATATGGTCCAAAATCTCAATTCTTACAGCTAACATATGGGATTGGAACAAAAGTGCATTATAAGAAGAGTGAGTTGGCCCACGATTTTTATTTAAGCCACTCAATTTTTAAGCATGCTGCTTATTTATTTATTTATTCTAAATCCTATTCAGGCAAAGCCCTTTCAATTGCCAGATTTGATTTATCAGGCTATATATATGTTTTGCTGTTTTGCCTGTTCTGATTTCACAATTATTTAATAAGGAAGAGACACATAAAAACTTGGGCCAAAATTGTGTGTTCTTTAATCAAGAGAAAATCCCATCCCCTTGCAGGGGCATTTTGCTCATTCAAAGACTGAATATTTGGGTATTGAGTGAAGAATGTAAAAGTCAATAAAGTTTGAATACAGGCAGATGTTCTACTTTTCGCACTTTGCTATAATTTACTGTATCATGTATCCATTGGCTACTGAATCATCAGATATGACAAGATTCTGCTCATAGCAAGAGCTGGTTTGACTGCTTTCTGCTGAATTAAATGTTTTCAAGAGCACTGAAACCAGAATATTGCACAGAGATATTGCTTGCCACAAAACTGTAATCATTAGGTTGGGGGAGTGGAGACGAAACAAGACATTCCCCACGCAAATGATTATGACAAACAGCTTTGCCTGTGGAAGAAGACACAAATTCTGGTCTCCTTAATCCTATTTTACAGGAATATTTTTCATAACAGCTGAAGCAGAGATGAGTCTTGAACTGGACTTTCCTATATTACAGGCAATTTCTATAACCACCACAATTCACGCCCATGTATGCTCATCCTGTTTCACGCAAGCTCTAGAGATGGCGTAGTGTATTGTCTCTGCAGTAGAATATCAAGCTGATCCTAAAGCCTTTGCGCAGCTAAAAGAGTCATGGATTTTATACTATCAGGTTTCACATACTTTCTCACCTCTGCCTTCCACAAATATGGCAATTAAAGCTTGAGATGGCAAGTAAGTTACACTTTCAGTTTTGGGGAACCAAGCCTAGCACACAAAGTTAGGGCACAAAGTGTGGGCACAAGTCTACTGAATCAGGGGATGGTCCAAGTTTTTTCTCTGTGAGGGTGATTGGGATAATTAGTTTGTAAAGCCATAACAAAATAATTGCGAAAGCAAGCTGATCAAAATCCACAATAATTTTTACTAAACGGTCACATTATTCAAGGACATATTTGCTTCTTTAAAAATGACAGTTGCAGATTTTGCACCTCGTAACCGTAACCATGCCTCCAGAGATATATGGCTGTTCCAACATAGTCTTTAAATTTCACAGCTTTAATTGTCTAAATATAAATTAAAAAGCAAAACCTATCCCGTAAAAGGAAAACAAGACATTTTTAAAGATCTCCAGAAAGAATATTGTTAGTATGGGCATGAAGTACTCTGGGTTATGGGATAAGGCCTAATTCTGTCTTTCTTGCCCAAGACAAACACTACCATCTTCCATGGATATTGGCTAAAAAAACAGTAGCATTTTCTAGGGCTGCTCAGTGGGGAGGATGACAGAACTCATCCTATAAATTTAAAATCAAATTCAGAGCATAAACATTGTGACATCATAAGGATGGACTCAAGATTCCCGAGTAATTATAGCTGATTTTCTAAATGGCATTTAAAAGCCTTACAGCAAATGCACTACCTACGAATAGTGGCTGTGGACATATTTGGATGTATACTGTGATCCTAAAGAAGCAGTTGTATCAACTACCTACTGAAACGCCTGAACGCAAAGCCTGTTGAAGGCTGAGTGTGTCTGCAATTATCAACATAGAAAGAGTGAGAAGCTTGAATTGGGGATGGATCACAGCAGCTCATATTAAAATGAGCTAACGTAGTACCATAGTAGACACACCTTTAATTTGTGTATCATTTTTACATAGTTATAGTTAAAATGTTGCATTAAATATTAGTGTTCCTTAATTTCCGAGTGAAATTCTTACATAGTGGTATCTGTGATAAACTTGAGTCTATTCTGATTTTGGTGCCTGATTTTAAACCCCAAAGGAAATATTTGAGATGACATAATCAAATGGTTACAAACATGACCAAAAAGATAATAAGCTACTGATGTCATTTTTTCATTTTAGTTGGATGGAGCTATGTATCTTTCCACAAGAAAAACAGAAATATTACAAAATTCTATTTTTCTGTAATCCTTAGGTCAGGATTCTAGTTTTACAGAACTTGATGAGCTGATTCAATAGTTTGAGTGGTCAGACAAGGGATCATTCACAAAGAATTGCCAAAAAAACTGGTTTTCTAATATGTATCAATATATATAAAGAACTCCAAGATTAATTTCTGTGTTCCTCATATGAACTAGAAGCAGAATTGCTCTCCATAGCCCCAGTATTTGTCTGATCATTTTTTAGGGTGCATGTTTTAAATGGATATTGGTATTTGCTGCATTCTTTGGTCCTTCAGACAGCAGGCTTAAAAGGATTAAAATAGATTACCACATGAGTGTTTCTATAGATTATGACATTTTATATTCCTTTTGTCTGATTTAGGAAAAATAAAAAATAATTTCACCAAAAAAGGTATTAAACTAACTTTAAATTGTGGCTTAGCAAACTGAGGATCAGAAAATTAATATCTAAGGTTGAAATCCCATCCTATCATATCCCATTATTAAGAAATGTATTTACTGATGTCAATGTACATGCTGACTACCCATTCACCCCCTCAGAAAAAGCCATATAGCACCTTCCTCGAGCTCTGGGGTCCTTGGCAGATGTTCCAGAAGAGTCATGTGCACAGAAAAATTGATCAGCAGCTATTTTTCAATCCCCAATCCAGAAATCAAGAAATAAAATGGAAATTAAGTGCTAAATCCTCTGTGCCACCCTGCACAGCAATACTTGTCCGTAGGGCATTCATTGTTCTTGTCCCCAGCCAGGGGAGAGAAATGGACCCTGCAACATCACACAGAAGGGGAAGTGACCTCTGCCCCTCCAGAAGAAAATAAGGGAGCTAGGCGTAGCATCCCGGTGCCCCCTGGAGAACACCCGTCATCTCAGTAGCAACCCCAGGCAAATTGATGCTGGACATTGAAGTCTCCTTGCACCACAGCTGCAGCAATGCTGGACATCTGTCCTTGGCTATGGGATATTATTCCCTATCCGGAAATGGGTATCATTCATGCAGAATTCATTCTCATGCTTTTTCCAGGGAAGGAGACAAATACAATTCCCTTTCTACATATTTATTTTTGTTATTGTATACAGGTGCTCACAACCTATTCCATAAGTCTATGCTGCTTGAGACACAATAGGCAACACACATCCCAGGTAGTCATGGACTCAACAGTCAACGGCTCAAAGTCTGGGTGGAGATCAGTGACAAGGTGTCCTTCAAGGGGGCCAGTATTGGGACCAGTATTACTTAACGTCTTTGTCAGGGACATGGACAGTGGGATGTGGATGACACCCAGCTGAGTGGTGTGGTTGACACTTAGAGGGAAGGGATGCCATCCAGAGGGACCTTCACAGGCCCTCTCGGTGGGTCTGTGTGAACCTCATGAAGTTCAACAAGACCAAGTGCAAGGTCCTGCACCTGAGTCAGGGCAATCCCAAACATGGATACAGGCTGGGCAATGAGTGGGTTGAGAGCAGCCCTGTGGACAAGGACTTGAGGGTATCAGTGGATGAAAAACTGCATATGAACCAACAAAGTGTGCTAGCAGCCCAGAAAGCCAATCTCATCCTGGACTGCATCAAAAGAAATGTGGCCAGCAGGTCTAGGGAGGTGATTCTCCCCCTCTACTCTGCTCTCGTGAGACTCCATCTGGAGTCCTGTGTTCAGCTCTGGGGCTCCCAACATAAGAAGGACCTGGACCTGCTCAAGCGGGTCCAGAGGAGGGCCACAAAGATGATCAGGGGGCTGGAGCACCTCCCATATGACAGGCTGAGAGAGCTGGGGCTGTTTAGCCAAGAGAAGAAAAGGCTCCAGGGAGACCTTATAGCAGCCTTCCAGTACTTAAAGGGGGCCTACTGGAAAGATGGGGAGGGACTCTTTCTGAGGGAATGTAGTGAAAGTTTTAAACTGGAAGAGAGTAGATTTAGATTAGATATTAGGAAGAAATTCTTTACTGTGAGGGCGGTGAGACACCGGAACAGGTTGCCCAGAGAAGTTGTGGATGCCCCATCCCTGGAAGTGTTAAGGGCAGGCTGGATGAGGCTTTGAGCAACCTGGTCTAGTGGAAGGTGTCCCTGCCCATGGCAGGGGGGCTGGAACCCGATGATCTTTAAGGTCCCTTCCAACCCAAACCATTCTATGATGCTATGATTCTAGGACTCTGGTAACCAAAGTATCATATTCCCACCTACATTAATTCACACCGTCAAGAGGTACAAAATCCAAAATGTCTGACAACTTTTTATGTAGATTCTGTATCTCTGCTCTTCCCATCAAGGATCAGTGTTCACCCATCTTCTCCATGTGGTCCCACATGGGCATCACTCACCCAAAAGTCTACCAATAACAGGGTTCCTTGGTTCACTTCTTTTGTTGCAGACTTTCTCTGCATGCACATCCCTCATACAAGCCCATTATACTATTTCCAACAACAGAATGGTCTATTCCTGTGCTTCAAAATGCTGAAAGGGGGGCAATTGTAATGCTCTGATTGCCAGAGACCTTTGATTCTAAATCCACAGTGTAATTTAGCATTGAGTTAAAAAAAATCCCCTCTGGTAGTTTTTGAGAGATATCACAGTTAAGTGAGAAAGACTGGTCATTCAGATTTTCATGGAATTTCTTTAGGCATTTTAATTAGATTTTCTTAATTTGTGTTTATCTCCAACTGTTTGTCTTAAAATCAGATTTGCTTGTATGATGGCAGATGTTGGGAATATTCTGAAGAATGCTTAAGGAAAATAAATTTCTTACAATCGTGAATTTTTACACAGAAAGCCTGAACTATTCTTATATAAGAAGGCAAAGGCTTCTGAGGCAAATCAAAATAGCATTACAAAAATCGAGTACTTGTAATGATCTGCCTGCCCTTGTTCAAACTACAGATCCAGATTCATAAAACTTATTCATTATACATTAGAGAAAATCAAGAACTTTTTGCATGGACTCTACAAACAGGAAGAGATAAACTTTATTACATAATTTTTTATGAATTATTTTTGTAAATGTAATCACAATACATTTCTGTATTGGAGATTTTCTTTTACACATACAGTAAGGTCCCAAGTTCTCAAATGTAGAAACTTCCCTTCAAGGCAGAGAATCAATTCATTAAGGATCTGAGGTTGGTATATTAAAAATACCGCTGGTTTTTAGAGAGATAAAATCAGAAATATTACAGATAGCACAATTTACTTCTGGAATATGTCTTCAGGAAGCACAAAAATAAATGAGTCAAAGTTTAGAACTTAAATAGCAACACAAAACCACCACAGTCCTATGCAGAAATATAGCATTTAGGGAAGTCAGAGTTTACAAAATGTGCTTTGTGTAGCCACAATTTAAAATTTAGCAAGGTTTTAAGGGCTGCTTTTTTTTTTTTTTTTTTCATGAAGGTCCTAGTAAATGATGCATTCATTAAACTCTTGTCTCATTTAAATGCTTTGAGTTTTCCCAGCTGGGATGATTTTAAAACTGTATGTTTATTCTTCTTCAGATCCCCCCTTACATCTCTCCTTCATTTGGACTAACACAAAGAAAATGGTAGTGGTTAATGAGTTGATGTGCTTCATTCATTGTAAACAAGTAGTGGGGGACTCAGCTCTCACATCTTCACTGACTATACAGATGCTTAGACACCTTGATGATTGTCTCAGTCCTTCTGACTTCTTTTTTTGCATGCTTAGGTTTTAAGTTTCTTGACTATCTTTTGTAGAAGGATGCCATGTCTGGCACTTGTATAGTACATATAATAAAAAACGGCAATATTATAAGTGATGACAATTTCATTCCACAACATGGGAGGTTTTCTTTCTTTGTGCACATTAAAGACTTTTCCACCTCTTCTGTTTACAGCCACATGGGTTGGAGGAGGTTACATCAACGGGACAGCAGAAGCTGTGTACGTCCCAGGCTATGGTTTAGCTTGGGCTCAGGCACCTATCGGATATTCCCTTAGTCTGGTTTTAGGTAAGCAAAGAACTAAAGCTACTAGTCTCTCATTTTAAACAGTTCTGATGACAAGTCCATCCTTTGAAATGAAACAGCTAGGGTCTGATAAAAGGATACCGAGGTAAACTGGATGCCTTTTGTTGATAGGTTTGGCTATTAAAAAGAAAAACAGAAAATCATGACAAATAGTTTGGTATCTTAAGTCTCCTCAATGCCTTGGCAAGACCTATTTGATTATTACAACCATAGTGATCTGTGGAGGTCACAATAAGAAAGATTTTGTTATGGGATTTTTTTTTAATTATATATACTAAGTTTTACATATTCAGGTTTTCTTTAAGTGCCTGTATGCTCTGGAACATGATAGTATCAGGGCACCTATAAATCTTGGAATTCAAAAATGGCAAATAACCTTTCAGGTTAGGGAAGTGCTTACACCTTACAGATCTTCACCAAATGTCTAAGTAACTTGTCAAATTTTGTGTAGGAAATGTGTAGTAGAACCAATCTATTTCCTTAAAATTGGACCAAGCATCCTCTTAAAAGCAGTACAAAACTCCAAATCACATGTCAAAATGCAGATACACAGTCCTGCTATATGCAGGGTCAGAGTGTAAAATACAGACAGCATTACAATTTTTAATGCTGTGGCCTCTAATTCCTGAAATGTAGTCTCAGAACTTCCTTACTTTTCTTAAAAATAATAGCAATAAAAAATTTCTCACCATGTCTCATCATGGAGCAGCTCACAACAAAAGTACTGCCTTGTGAGCCATGATGAATATACCACAAAGTTGTCAACTACATCCTCTCAGTTTGTGAACAGATCATGTCCCTAAGGCATCATAAAAGATACTGTGTTTTTCATCTTTCATTAATGTGACTGGTATATTAGCCTTTCTAATAATACTTGACCTCTCAGTCTATTTTGAGTCTTTTCTCATGGTCCTCCCACCTAGTCTGTCCCCTTGTTTCCTTTGGTTGCTTATCCAGGTCTTCTTGCCCCTTTTATTGCTTCCTATACAACTCCGTTTCCCTCCTGACTCTTTTTTTCCCCTTGGAAATGCTTTCCTATGGCCTGTCCTGGTTCTGCTCTCTTCCCAGGCAGAAACCATCTCCATCACAGATGCTCCTCTCTGGAACATGCGGGCCAGCTCCAGTTCCAGTAGTAGTTCCCATCCCTGAGAGCAGCTCTATTTCCTGTAAGGAAAACAATAACAGTAGATGTCTGCCTGGAGATCAGTCGATGTCATTATGAGGTCATGAAGGTCATGATCCACCAATGTCATTAAGCAGTCATTAGGATCGTAGTCACAAGGATCTTCCTGACTCTTAGACTCTGTAGAATTGACACAAATTAATGATAGCCCAAAAAGGGTTGAGTTAGCCTCTCCCCTCCTTTCCAGCTGTTTTTAGATATCCAGACTTTTTTTCCTGGAAATTATAATGGCCACTGCAGAGAAAAGAGGTCTGTATCATGTGACTATACATCACTCTGCAGAGCACAGAGAGGAAAGCATTTCTGTAGGAGTGATCAGTACAGGCAGGTTTGGGGGGAGGAGTTGTTTATCCTTCTTTTAATAAAAAAAAATAAAAAATATAAATGCAAGTCTAGAAGAAATAATATTGCTTCAGACTGGAAGGATTTAAGATTGGTATAATCTCCCTGTTATTTCAATGTTGTGCTGCATACCACTTTTCCTAATATTTCAAGCAATTTAGTTTTAAAGGTTAGAATATCCCCTGTTTTCTCTGACAGATGTTTGAACATCCTGATAGATTATAATACTAGTGACTCTTTTTTTCTTCTTTTAGTTGTCTTTTGTAATGATGACATAACAAGTAGAATAGGAACAGGATCCATGACCAATTCAAGAATGGTGAAAAAATGCTGGAGGATTTTTGCATCCAGAAAACCTGCCTAAAGACAGTGTTCACATAAACAGCATAAATAAATTGTGATTTGTAAGCCAGTACCTTCTGTTCACGGAACTTAATGAAATGAAGAAATATGAGTGATATAAGGCAATACATAGAAATGTAGAAAATCTTCTGTACAATAGGATGAATACATTACATATCTTGTGATGAAGAACCTACTAAGGGTCACCAAATACTGTACAGTAGATTTTTTGGGGAACTGACTGGTTTTCCAGGTCTTTTATTGTGCCTCATACATTGCATTTCAGCAGTTTTACTGTGGTAGCAGTCTAGTTAGCTATAGTCATGTGCAGGTCTCAGCTACACAGGTTTCCACAGAAGGTCCCTTCCAGCTTTCCTGAGATATGTCCTTTTTTTCCCGCAGCCAGAAAGAATTTGAGTACTGTACATTAGAAAGGTGAGGCCTTTGCACATTTATGTACATATCCAGGCCCTATGCCAGCCAGGCAGAGCAGAATTGTGATACATCAAAATTTGCTGAATAAGTGAAATAAGTGTATGACAAATGTTCGGGGAGCCTGACACCTGCAGAGCCAAGAAGGCATCTGACCTACCCTGCAGGTGTAGTAAGGTTGATTTAAGCACACATAATAAATCTGAATTGTCCTGAAGGAATCAGATTTGCTGTGTGTACAATAAACCATGTGTGAACTCGTATTTCTGATCCAGGAATCCCAGACAGTTTTATTTTTAGGGTAGGGCCATGTGAAAATTCATGCTGGATTCTGCTCTAAGAATGAACAGGATTAGGTAGAAAAGCCATTCCCTTAGGTTGATCCAAAATTAGACAAAACTCTGATAGCCTCCATAGTAGCAGAGTAAGTAAACTGAACCAGACAAAATAAGACAAACCTGTTTTGCATTATCAGACCATAGATATTAATGGTGTGGATGTGTTTATGTAACTCTGTGGACAGATATAAGGTAAGAGTTCTTAGAGAATATTTTAACTGTACGTATTTCTTTTAAAAAAAAACCCAGTAATACTGATATTTTTGTACGCTTAACTGACAATCAGTATTTTAGCCCTTAATGGTACTGCATTTCTCCACTGCAGCTGGTGTCTCATGCTACTTTTCTTTGTAGGTGGCCTTTTTTTTGCAAAACCCATGCGATCTAAAGGCTATGTGACAATGCTAGACCCTTTTCAGCAGCTTTATGGAAAAAGGATGGGAGGGCTACTGTTTATTCCGGCTTTAATGGGAGAAATGTTTTGGGCTGCTGCCATCTTCTCTGCCTTAGGTAAGGAATAAGCAGTATAAATATTAATTTATCACAGGTGGAAAGGATTAAGAAAATCAGAACTACATTAAAGTTCTGGCTTCAAATGCTAACTATCCTGGCCAAAGGATTCAGAGTGTGACAGTTCTCAGACCCGTGCTAACTAGTAATTAAACCCGGTAATGGTACCCCATTAATTATTTTGGTAATGGAAAGACACACAAAGTATCTATTCATTTTCAGGTACCTTTAAGTTGTCCCTTTTCAAAGAGCATGAAAGATTTAGCAACAAATTTCTTTTAATTTTGAGGGTGACATGAGTGATTGCAAGTGTCCCTTTTATGTCAAGACTGACCCAGCTTCTCTTTTACACCACTGAGATCACACAAGCCAGTCAAAATTTCACTTAAAGATATGAAAGATTATTGCCAATGAATCTAAACAAAATAATCCCCTGCATATAGGAGAGCTACATATACAGAACTTCCCATAGCACAAATAATAGAAGTAAAACAGATGCTATCAATAAATTGAAGTATTACTCAATTCTAAATGGCTTTCTACTTGACAAAATGAAGAAAATACTTAGGATTCAAGAAAGGACTCAGAGAATTAGTGGAACTATGACTCAATAGAAAATCACCCCGCTACTCAGTCCTGAAAAAAAACCAGTTTCTAGGGTTTTTAATTATATTTCAGGCTTGAATTTAGCAATCCCTTCAAGAACTGAGAAAGCCCTTGAGTTGAAGCACCAGTAGTTGACTTTTACCAGCTAATCATACTCATAGTGCACATGCATGTGGTAATGCTTTCTAGCACAAGCTATTTTAAGCAGAAAATAAACTTTGAAAGTACTCTCCAACTGTGCTCTGATGAACTGCAAAGCAATGGGGAGCTTGTTTACCATGATTCCATCACAAAATCCTTAAAGGACTAAGAACAAAATACATGCTGAGGTGATAGGAGTTGAATAACTTGAACACTCTTAGTATTAGGAATATACTTTCTTTTTGATTGAGGACAAGCTAATCTGTGATATTTCAAAGCAAGTACTGTGAATACCTCTCTAGTAGGTTTATATTAACAGCTGACAGTTAAAGACTGTCAATGACTATAAAGGTCATTGAGGGTTTTGATTTTAACTGTTCTGTGAATAATCTGGTTATATTATACCTTCTAATTTGCACACCTATCCTCACTGATGAATATTTAATACCAGTACTATTCACTTCTTGATCTTCCTCATGATTTCTTGCTTGGCAGGGTTATAGAAGGGGAAGACAGGGATTCCAGCTTGTGAAAGTGGTCTGAGCTTGTAATCCTTAAGCACATGAACTTTGAAGGCTCACTGTACAACAAAAAGCCACCTGGCAGCTCCCAGCAGCAATTATATACCACGCATTGTGTTGTGTTCTACTGCCAGAACGTTTCCACCTATGTGGTCAAGAATATCCATTTACAATGCCTTCAAGGACTAAAAGTTATTTCAACATGTTTCATTTAAATTATCCTAATTAGGAGGAGAGGAATTTTTTTTTAAACATGATTTTAAAACACTGCAATCACTTGAAATAGCTAATACATCTGAGGGAAATGTTTAATCATCCTGATAGCTGCTGGAAGGGCAGTGCAGGAGGGCACAAGCAATTCAGGAGGTTTCTTGAGTGCACTGACAACAACTTCCTGAAACAAATGATCAAGGAGCTGATGAAGAGAAGTGCTCTGTTGAACCTGTTACTTACAAACAAGGAAGAACTAGTTAGGGATGCGAAGGTCAGAGGCAGACTTGGCTGCAGTGCTCATGAGATGGTGGAGCTCAGGGTCCAAAAATCAGGACTTCAGGAGTGTAGAGTTCGGTGTCTCCAGGGATCTGCTTGGAGGAATCCCATGGAAGACAGCCCTGGAGAGGAGTCCAGGAGAGCTTGCTGATACTCAGGGATTTCCTCCTCCAAGCTCAAGAAGAGTCCACCCTGACAACCAGGAAAAAAAGCAAAGCTGGCAGGAGACCTGCATAGATGAAAAAGGAGCTCATGACTAGACTCAGATGTAAAAATGAAGAATTCAAGAGGTGGAAGCAGGAACAGGTGACCCGGAAGGAATACAGAGATACTGTCCAAGCATGCAGAGATGGGGTTAGAAAAGCCGAAGTCCACCCAGATTTGAATCTGGCCGTGAAAGGCAGCAAGAAAGGCTTCTACGAGTACATAAACTAGGGAAAATGTGGACTGCTGTTGAATGGGACAGGGGACCTGGTGGCAAAGGATACAAAAAATGCTGAGGTACTCAGTGCATTCTCTGCTTCATTCTTTGCTGATAAGACTAGCCTTCAGGATTCCCAGGACCCTGAGAACCCTAGGGAAGTCCAGGGCAAGGAAGGCTTGCTAGAAGAGTATCAGGTTAGGAATATTTTAAATAGATTGGACAGACAGTTTCATAGGACTTCATTGGATGCATCCTGTGAGTGCTGTGGGAGCTGGCTGATAGCATTGCAAGGACACTCTCAGTAATCTTCCGAAAACTGTGGTGATCAGGGATGTTCCTGAAGAAATGTTTCTTGAAGAAAACAAATGTCACTCCCATCATCAAGAAGTGCAAGAAGGAGGATACCAGGAACCAAAGGCTGGTCAGCCTTACCTCAGTCCCTGGGAAGGAGATGGTGCAAATACTCCTGGAAACTACTTCCAAACAAATGAAGGTCAAGAAGGGGATTAGGAGGAATCAATATGGATTTATGGAGAGGAAACAATTCCTGACCAACCTGACATCTTCCATGATGAGCTGACTGGCTTGGTTCACAAAGGGAGAGCAGGGCATGTTGTCGATTTCAGAAAGGGCTCTTTACACCATCTCCTGTAATATCCTTGTAGACAAACAGATGAAATATAGACTAGATAAGTGGACAGTGAGCGGATAGAAAACTGGCTGAACTGCTGGACTTAAAGGGCTGTGACCAGCTGCATGTAAGCCACTGGGTGGCCAGTCACCAGCTGTGTACCCCAGGAGTCAATACTGCGTCCTGTGTTGTGTAATGTCTTCATTAATGACCTGGCTGATTGGGACCAAGTGCACCTTCAGCTAGTTTGCAGAAAATAAAAACTGTGAGGATTTGCAGATAGACCAGATGGTTGTATTGCCATTCAGGACCTCAACAAGCTGCAGAAATGGGCCAACAGAAACTTGACAAAATTCAACAAAGGGAAGTGCTAAGTCCTGCACCTGGGGAGGTACAACATGATGTCCCAGTACAGGCTGGGAGCTGATCAGTTTGAAAGCAGGTTTGCAGAAAAGGACCTGGGAGTCTTAGAAGTCAATGAAGTTGACCATGAGACAGCAATATGTTCTTGTGCCAAGGAAAGCCAATGGCATCCTTAGCTGCATTAGAAGGACCATTGCCAGCAGGTTGAGGGAGGGGATCCTTCCCCTCCACTCAGCACTGGTGAGACACATTTGGAGTGCTGGATCCAGTGCTCCTCAATACAAGGGACATGGACATACTGGAGAGAGTCCAGTGAAGAGCCACAAAGATGATTAAGGGGCTGGGGTATCTGGCATATAAGAAGAAGCTGACAGAGCTGGGACTGTTCAGCCTGGAGAAGAGAAGGCTCAGGGGGTTCTTATCCATGTGCATAAATATCTGATTTTGCAGTAGGGGCATGGAATAAAGAAGACAGAGCCAGGCTCACCTCTGTGTTGCCCAGTGACAGGACAAGAGGCAATGAGCACAAGCAGAACTACAGGAAATTCCATTCAAACTTAAGAAGAACCTTTTTTTTTACAGTGGGAGAGGTCAAACACTGGCACAGGTTGCCCAGAGAAGTTGTAGAGTCTCCACCCTTGCAGATATTCAAGACCTGACTGAACATGATCCTGAGCAACTTGCTCCAGCTGACACTGCTTGAGCGGGAACTTGGACTAGAAAATCTTTAGAGGTGCCTTTCAGTCTCAGCAACTGATTCTATGACCTGTTTTGTGGAGACTGACTGGTCAGCTCAACATTGTGGTTTGTTTTCTACAAATGAAATCTGCTTGATGGTGCTTGGAAAAGTTCTTGGTTTCTAGGTTGACAATGGAGGATGGATTCTCCAGTTTGCAAAGAAACCCAACTCTGTCCCATGTAAACAATTCAAGGGCACTTTAGAAGGGTGGGTGGACAACCGCCTCTGTAGCTGATGCCTCCTCTACCATTCCTTCCTTGGTCAAAAGGGGCTAGCTCAGAGCATAAGTGAGACACAAAAGGGTGTGATATGTTGCAGCAGACCTCCTCTAGGCACAGCCTTTATTGCAGTGATACACTTGTTCTCACGCAGCTGCAAGTCACCCAGGGAGGCTTCAGCTGTCTGTGCGTGGCTGCTTTTCCCCAGACAGAACAGAGCGTAGTCCTTCCAGAGCTTGAGCAACGTAAGGAAAGGCTGTTGGTACCCTTCCCTCCTGCATTTCATGAGAACCTGCAAAATGACAGATGCTAAACTCAGACCAACAGGAGTCTTCCTTTTCCCACTCCCTTCAAAGGTGCAGAAGATAGAGGGGGGGGGGAATATCTTCATGCTGTTGCTAAGTGTCAGACCACCACCTGTATATGCAACTTAACAAAGGTGAGCCTTCTCATCAGACGTACTGTGATATATGCTAACACGCAGTGCTTTGTTTTTCCCCATAGGTGCCACTATAAGTGTGATCATTGACATTAATGTCAATATTTCAGTCATTATTTCTGCCCTGATTGCAACGTTGTACACGCTTGTGGGTGGGCTTTATTCTGTGGCCTACACTGACGTAGTTCAGCTCTTCTGCATCTTCCTGGGACTGGTAAGTTTGGCTTTTTTCCCCTTCTTTGTTGAGGATTTTGCCCTGAGCATTATGATGATTACTGAGACCTATTGCCCACCCTAAGTTTTGGAACTGTGTCTTCACTGAAAGCGCGGCAAAGGAATATCCCCACTCACAGAGCTCTGACCTTAGAGAGTCTGCATTTACATCAACGTGCAGCTTGTGCTTTGATGACAATGCTGACCGAGATGGCCAATTCTTTGGCTTTTTTCCAACCAGTTAGATAGTGCAAACACTTTTGTAATTTTCCTTCTGAGCATATATCTAACTCAGGATAGGACTGGAGCTGACTCCTTCCCTATCCATCCATAGAAATGTGACAGAGGCACTGGAAGGAGGCATCAGATGTAAAAAGCAGTCAGTAGAGCAGTCCAGAAACTCTGGCATTGAACCTGCAGAGCTGATACTCTCCTGCTTCTCTTTCCTGTAGCTGTCACCTACTCACACAACTTAGTTAATCTCCTGCTTTAAATCACCTTCTTGGTTTTACCCTCATTTCCCTCCATTGTCCTTGGAGACCATAGTATAGGAAGTCTCACCAGATGACCTTGCTGTTTGAATATAGTGGTATGAATATCCCCTCATCACCTATCAATGATATGCTAGTGGGTAGCCTTTTCTTTTATTTACTGCTGTTCTTTAAGCCCTGCTCTGAAAAACATCAGTGCAACAGGGCTCAGATCACAGAGCAAAGAAGCTGCTGTCTTTGTTTGCCAGTGGCAATAATAGATGGTCACAGGTGTGCAGAGGTCTGAGACAGGCTGAAATAAATGGGGTGGCTCAAGGTAAAGGTACTGAATGGCACCTTGGGGACCCAGAGTTGTTTCTCTGCTTTCACCGGCATTCTTGTGCAGCTCTAGGGAAATTGCTTCAGCCAGAGCTCACACAGGTGGTCACTAACCAACCCTGTGTGTGTTCTCACTCTGTGGCATCCTACCGCGAGGCCTATGGCCTTATCTGCAGAAGTGCTAAGCATTACCTGTTGTAACTGACTTCATGGGAATGGTGCTAAATACCCTGAAAAAGTAAATCCAAGTTCCAGCTGCCCACCTCAAATGAGAAGTTATTCCAGATCTTCTTCTCTCATACTTTTGTTCTTCACCTGCACAGTGGGGAAAATACTGTCTCCTTCCCTAACATGCGTGTTAATATTTGTGAATCATGCAGTTTCTACAGATGGTGTGTAGTACGGAAATTCCCGAAACTGTAGCCAAATCAAAATAGAGAAATGCTTTTCCAACAAGAACAACTCATGCACTGCTATAGACCCTGATCCTGTGGGAATAACAACTTGTGATCCAGTATTAAAGGCAGCATGAACCTGACAGAGAAGGGAAAGCAAATGAAGGTTGTATAGCAGTGTTCTAAATGGTTGGATCTATAGCTTTAATAGTGTTCTTTTAATTCAGGTTGGGCTTTTTATGTAATTTCCCATTTAAAATAAACAGCAATAATGTCAGGTGTCAAGAACCATATTCATAACCTCAGGAGTCACCAGTGGGGCTGGAAACATCAGATAGTGTCTAAATGGTCATGCTCTAGGTGAGGCAGTTTTAGATAAGATGGGACACTTTCGCAGTAGGTGTCACAGCAGAAGATGTCACAGGCTCAGGTATCCCAGCTTCTCCTGCAGGCTCTGGAACAATTTGTATTCCTACTGGCACAGAGCTTTACTGCTCATTCCTCTAATGTCTGTTCCTCTCCTGCTCCTTATCCAAGAAGAGATGCTTGTTGTAATCACTTCTGTTCTCAGTTCAGCCACAGCTTCTTCCTTAGGCTTCTGTAGCCACTCCATGTACTTCCCTGGTTTTCTCCTTACAATCCCATGTAGTCTCTTTCCTTCCCTCCTGACTCTTCTGTACCCACATCTGCAATCCTTAGCTCTTTATCTTGCCTGGTGAGTCTTTCCCTGATCCTGCACTGTATCCCCACTATTTACTGACTCTTCATCTCAGCTGTATTATTGATCCCCCATTCTAAACTCTTTGCCACTGTGTAGAAGTCCTTTTGTTTCTGGTTTCCAATCCCATGAGATCCAGTTCCTTCTAGCTATCTGCTACTTCCATCCCAGAGCTTCAAGTCCCAACATAAAGTCCCAGTTTCCACTTCATTTCCATAAGCCTTGGTTTTATTTGCCCTCCATTCAAACCAGCGAATTTTCTACTCTGGTTAGAAAGGACTCAATGAAGAAATTGGGTCTATGTCTATATTAAGCAAGTTAAACAGTGTCAAGGTGAAAACACAGGATCATCTGTAGTGCTTAATTGTTAACACAGTCCTGGCACTGTTTTGGCCCATGCCAACGAGTACTTTTCCGGATAGTTCCCAGGAACAGCTGAGGGCTGTCCTTTTTGGCAGGGAAAGGAGTCTAGATGTATGGATGTAAATCATGACATGTCAGTGAACTGTAGGGCCAGAGAAAGTGTCTTGACTTGTTTTATCTACTGATATGCTAGGTGACTGTCAAGAACTGGAATGCATTACAAAAGCTTATAATGCATTTGCAGTACAGTCCCTATTAAATCCTGGGCTGTGGCATGCAAGCTGCAGGTGGACCTTTAGGAATTTACCCTACTGAAAATCTCAGCTGCCTGTGGGCAAACTACGTCTCTTCAGAGGCTCATCACTTGGACATATTTGAGATTTAAGATTCACAAGCAAGAACAAAAAAATCCATTTGACATCCTTGTTCCCCATGAATCTCCCAAGAGAAGAGTATTAACATCCATTAATTTTGACAACATGTTTATTTTTCCCTCAAAATATCTTAGAGACAGTTGAAGCATTTTGGTGATCTTTCCCAGAAAAGCCTAAGCAGACAGTGAGAAGGGAATCTTTTTGCCTAAGTGCTTAAATGGGCAAAGTTTAATATGTAACTGAGAACAGAATACCATGGAATGTGATAAACACCCTGAATAATAGGCAGCATAGCAAAACATAGCAATAATTCATATATTCTTCCACACTATTGCAATAATTGTACAACGAAGTAGAGGAAGATGTTTGATTTCTCCCCTCCTTGCTCCTGTTACCCCATACAGTTAAATGTGATCAGTTGGATTGTGGTAATCTGCGTGGTTTGGATATCACTGGAGCCTTAAGGATGTCATGCTTGCAATGGTCTATTTCATATAGCACAAAGCCTGGTTTTCATCTCAGTAGCAGCTACTGAGCTTCTCCTCATAGAGAGTTAGTGAGTTACATCGTGGCAAAATGAGTTGGCAAGTAAATGCACAAAAAGCCAGTTTGTGAAGGAAACAAACCTTCTGGCCAAAACTGTCTCTGGGAAGCATTTCTCAACTCTTTTTTTGGCCTAGATCAAAAGCAGAGAGACTGAAAATCGTCAAGATCCCAGAGTGAAATTGCCCTCAAGGTAGAAAAGTGCTGTAACACTACGCTACTGGGTGTTCTGGAGCAAGAGAGATGGGGGTTCACCAACAGCACCCCTCTTTTGTCATGTTATAATTTTGTGTTGAATTAAAAACAAATTCCCAAGCCTTCAGGTGTGTTCGTGATGTCTCATGCCTGTATACTGGCGACTCCTGATCCTGTTGCACACAAGTTTATATGTAGATGTTTCTCTACAGTGTGGTCCAGGAAAGGGTGTAAAGAATATATGTGCAGTTTAGGAAAAATAAAATGAATATGTATAAATGTGTCTTTCCTGCTGATTTTGTGATTTACACTGATTAATTCTCTGCTCATACTCACACTCTCCAGAATAGAGGTAAGCTATCCACTACCAAGCTCTCTGGATTTTGGAGATGTTCCACTGGCGCATAACCTGACTTTTTTGCAAGTCAGCTCAGCAACTTGGCTTTAGATCTGTAGCAAGAAGAAGAAAACCAGATCAGTGTTAATATGAAAACTTCCTGGGTTTAGAATGCCTTCTTTAGACCTGAACAAAGTGTTACTCTTTGGTTACAGTGGATCAGCGTACCCTTTGCAATGTCCCATCCTGCAGTGACAGACATTGGGCTCACGGCTGTGCACCAGGTGCACCAAGCACCTTGGCTTGGATCTATCAGCTCACTTGACATTTACACATGGCTGGACAATTTCCTTTTACTGGTAAGTGATGGCTTGGATGAAGGAATGAAGCATTTCAGCACTCACACTGTGTTACTGTAACAGCTGAAAATAACAGACACTCCAGTTAAGAGTTTCCAGCAAACTGAAAACTTTTACCCTCTTGACTCCTGCTCAATATTTCTGCACAGTTGAATGATTTCAGTGAAATATCAGTAGAATATTGTAGCACAGCTGTCAAAGTCAGCATTGCCAGGAATGCAATTTAAATATCATCAGGACGAAAGAGTTGACTTATGCTAAAATTAATTAAAAGTATGCAGCTAATACTTAACTATGTCATTCTTGGCAGAGGAATTTATATATTGCAGAAGGCAATAAATATGTTATACAAATGATTAAATATGCCTTAGGTATAGGTGATGTAGAAAAAGCTTTGCAGAGATGGATGGATGGATGAATTTATACGTGCACACATGCCAGAATGAACTGAGGGCTTTCGTTATTTAATACCCATGTATTACACATGGGATTGGTGGTTATTAAGGACTTTCCATTAGAATATCTAGCAACACATACTAATATTTTCCATTCTCAGTGTCCCTGAGCAACTCTACACTGTTTTTATTGTTGTGTTGTACTTTGGGATTCCTTTCTCTGGCTTGTTTTTGGGTTTGTTTTTTTTTTAAATAATCTCAACCAAAAATCTTCAGAGTTTTCTGATAATGGGGCTATTAAAATATATTGTTTTACCCAGCTTCAATTTTTTAGAGATTCTCAGAGAGCCCAAGTATGACATTAGCTCAAGTGGCTGTATTCTGTGTGGTAAGCCTGAAGGTTTTACCTCTGCTGATGACCAAAGGAAAGCTCTGATGTTGCTAAATTGTGACACATTTTCTTTTCATCTTGTTTGTTTCACTGTAGCTCAAGAAATTTACACATGCTTGGAAAGCTTTGTTAAAAGAACATTATTAAGGCTGCAAAGGAAAACAGTCATAAACAGCAAGTCAAAATCAGAGTTGCCTGTGAAACATTCATTCGGTCCCTGTGTGTGCATGAAACATATATGAAACACCTGTATACACACTATTTGGTCCAAATGACTCCAGCCTCTTTTAGTGTGTAGAACTGGGCAGTGCACGTTTAGTGAGCAATTTGCTGTGTTTTCTTTCCATGCTGTTTAGTCATATGCACTTATTTACTTAGTGGAGACTATTCAAATCCTGCTCTCAAGACAGAATTGTTAGCACTTGGCTTTTTAGCATTTGATAATACTCTTTTGTGTTGTATTTTGCAGACATAATTTTAAGTCTAGTCAGGATCTTCACTATTATATACCCAAAGAAAGAGAAGGGTTGCCACCATAAAATAAAACTTTCTTTTACTGCTTTGTCCTTAATTTGTATTAGTGTCATACTTGCTTAAGACAGTGGGAGAATAATTTTTCAGATTCTTGAGTTCAATGTATACAGAACATGCTGCCTTGTTTTGATGGCCACACACATTCATAAAGGAAGATAAAATCTTGCTTTCAAATCCTATCAGAGTGTAATTTAATTTTGGCAAGGGGAGGGTATTGGAGGCCAAATTCTTCAAATATGAGATATGACAATAGTATTTTATAACCTTTCATAAGGCTTTATTAAGTATTTATACAGCTCAAAATACTTGGGGATTACAGAGACTATGTAAGTGCAAAGTGTTGTTGCTAATTATACAAAGGAATAACTTGTCTAAAAGAATGGGATTTAAGTGGATTTACAAAGGTTTGACGTTACTTGTGAGAATGAAAGTTACAGCTATTACTGACTGACTGATATTCAATAAATGAATGAAAGAGCACCAACACAGCATTCAGCATTCAAGTAATGCATATATGTGCTCTCTACATGGTGATAGAAAAAAAATCCAGTTAGCCCCCAGTGACGGGATGCTGCCCATTGTATTTGCAGACATTAGGAGGAATCCCATGGCAAGCATATTTCCAGCGAGTTCTTTCCTCATCTTCTGCTACATATGCTCAAGTTCTGTCATTTCTGGCTGCTTTTGGCTGTCTTGTGATGGCTCTTCCTGCAGTACTCATTGGTGCAATTGGAGCTTCTACAGGTAAATGATTAAAAATGACTAGTTCAATAAATGTAAAATGAATAGTACAATAAATCTGTGAAAACCCTACAAAGCTTATGTTAGATATAATCTAGCCAGGTGACATCATTAATCAACTCATGACTTCTTCAACAGGAGACTACACTGGAAAATAATATTACAGAATATTTCTCCCAGGGGAAATTGCTCCTATCCCTGTGGCTGAGGTTAACTCATGTTGCACATTCTAGGTATCTGGGGACATAATATTTCTATTTCATGTTTGCGTTGGATTCTGGTACTTTTATGTGCTCCTAACAGTAATAATGAGGAGCGGCTGAGGGAACTGTGGTTGTTTAGTCTGGAGAAAAGGAGGCTCAGGGGACACCTTACCACCCTCTACAACTATGTGAAAGGAGGTTGTAGCGAGGTGGGTGTTGGTCTCTTCTCCCAGGTAACAAGCAATTGGATGAGAGGAAAGAGCCTCAAGTTGTGCCAGGGGAGGTTTAGGTTGGATATTAGAAAAAATTTCTTCACTGAAAGGGTAGTCAAGCATTGGAACAAGCTGCCCAGAGAGGTGGTTGAGTGCCCATCCCTGGAGGTATTTAAAAGACGTGTAGATGTGGCATTTAGGAACATGGTTTAGTGGTGGACTTGCCAGTGTTAGGTTAACGGTTGGAGTCAATGATCTTAAAGGTCTTTTCCGACCTAAATGATTCTAAATTATTCTAAATGATTCTATGATTTATCAGGAATTTCTTGTCTTGACCACAACATCCTTGTCAAGGTCTTTGTTATAGTGAGAGTGATCCCCATCACAGTCACCATGTAGCTAAACTGTTAGAAATGTTCTGTTAGAAATATTTAACACATGGCTTTGAGCTCTGAGTCTGTAATCCAAGAGAATAGTTAAACAAACATGGATCCCAGACTTGTTTTATTGAGGAAAATGACATTTATAAGCGATGCAAAGTTTTAATATTAAACTTCCTCCTGGATAACCACAGGCTGTGGTCAGACTTAGCTAAGTGTTGTGGTTTAACCTGGTAGGCAGCTAAACACCACACAGCCATTTGCTCACTCCCTCCCCTCCCCAGTGGGATGGGGGAGAGAATCAGAAAAAAAAAGTAAAATTCATGGGTTGAGGTAAAGACAGTTTAATAGGACAGAAAAGGAAAGGTAAAGAATAATAATAGTAATAATAATAATACACAAAATAAGTGATGCACAATGCAATTTCTCACCACCCAACAAAAGATACCCAGCCATTTGCTGAGCAGCGATCGCTGCCCCCTGGGCAATTCACCCCAGCTTATATACTGAGCATGACATCATATGGTATGGAATAGCCCTTTGGTCAGTTTGGATCAACTGTCTTGGCTGTGCCCCCACTGAGCTTCTTGTGCACCTGGCAGAGCATGGGAAGCTGAAAAGTCCTTGACTAGAGAAAGCACTACTTATCAGCAACTAAAACATCAGTGTGTTATCAGCATTATTCTCATCCTAAATCCAAAACACAGCACTATGTCAGCTGCTATGAAGAAAATTAACTCTATCCCAGCTGAAACCAGGACACTAAGAAGTAAGGAAAAATGCTGATCAGAATTAAATCTGCCTGACAGAAATAAGTGGGACACTGCCTCTCTGAAATGCCATTGGTCTGGCCCTAGTAATGGTTTGGTCATTAAATGTGAATGAAAATGTGGCAATACAAATAGCTCACTACACATGAAGTCAAGGCATACTGTAGCTGATGATTATTAATGTTACTAATAACATACTGGTGTCCATATTGCAGCCTGGAACGAGACGGAGTATGGTGTCCCTGACCCCATGACTAAAAAAGAAGCAGATATGATCTTACCGATTGTGCTCCAGTACCTTTGCCCAGTCTATATCTCATTCTTTGGCCTCGGGGCTGTATCTGCTGCCGTGATGTCGTCAGCTGACTCTTCAATTTTATCAGCAAGTTCTATGTTTGCTCGGAACATTTACCAGCTTTCCTTTCGGCAAAACGTGAGACTACATTTTCATCTTTACTTTTAGAGAAAATATTAGGTCAGACCTTAACTAGGTGATGCATAGCTTTCACGTTCCTGCCTATGACTAGAAAAAGTATAGCATTTCACTCCTAACAGTATATTGAATAAACTGAAAGTCATAAAAATATTTATGATTGTGGCTGACAACAGGGGTGAAAAAGCTAGTTCAGGGGAGGCAGGTTTCAAGAGTTCTCATGACACTGCAGTTTATCCAAGCAGCTCCTAATTATTGCTGCAACCATAAGTTTTACTTAAATCCTCAACAAAATGAGACATCTTTCTGAATGATTGATTTATCAGGAAATCATTTGACAACAGAATGGGCTAGTGAGTTGGTGTTTTTCTTTGGAAATGGAGAAGAAATTCTGATGCTGACAGTTTTTCTGGTTGAGCCATATTGTGCTTGTATTTAAAAGTTATTTCTAACACTCTGCTGTTGTTTTTTTAATTTGCCACTTTATCAGACTTTTCCTTATGCTCAAAGATTAACGACTTTGAGAATGGCAACCTTGGGTTTTTTTCTCTGCGTTTGAGATGGAGATAGAGACAGAGATATTCGTTTGTAAATATTATTGAATATGTCATGCAAAATTTCCTTTTACAATGCAGTATTTTATATCAACTGTGTGCATAAATGTAGGGTTACAAATATTGCCATGAAAAAAACACCTGACAGTGCCTTTTTTTTTCAGGCTTCAGACAGAGAAATCGTGTGGGTCATGAGAATTACTGTTTTTCTGTTTGGAGCATCAGCAACAGCAATGGCACTGCTGGCTTCTTCAGTGTACGGCCTGTGGTACCTCAGCTCTGACCTTGTTTATATCATCATATTCCCCCAGCTCCTGTGTGTGTTATTTATTAAAGGAACCAACACCTACGGTGCCATTGCAGGATACTTATTTGGCCTTGTTCTCAGAATAACTGGAGGAGAACCATACCTCTACCTTCAGCCCTTGATCTACTATCCTGGCTGCTATCCAGATGAAAATAATATCTATATCCAGCGATTCCCATTTAAAACACTTGCTATGCTTACCTCCTTCTTTACTAACATTATAGTCTCCTACTTAGCCAAATACTTATTTGAGAGTGGGACTTTGCCACCAAAGCTGGACTTCCTTGATGCTGTTGTTGCCAGGTACAGTAGAGAACACATGGACAAAGCAACTCTTGTAAAAAGTGACAATATTGTATTAAACGAACTTGCACCTGTGAATCCACGACACAGTCTAACTTTGAGCTCAACTTTCACGAACAAGGAAGCTTTCAGTTATGTTGATTCAAGTCCAGAGCTGTCCAACACTGAAGATAATTAAAAAATCTGGTATCCACAGGCAAAGCCATGCAAAGCAGGATATTCTACAAAGAATAGTAAGAGGCATTTTATCAGAAGAAAAGCAAGAACTGGGAATAAAATGCCACTGCACAATTCTTTAAGTTGTTTCCAGGAGCAGGAGCATCCCATGGGAGGAACTCTTTTCTGTTATTATCTAACATGTTGGATTAGATCATAGAGTGTTTACCAAAAGATATACTCAGATCCCATTCTTTCCACCCAGAACTATATACTGTGTAATTAAAAAAATATTTACAGTTGAAAATATATGTAGCAGGAAAAGTGCAAGTTATTTAGCTAGGACATTGTATGAAGAGATTATGATACAGTCACTCTGAAATACTATCAGCTGACATTTTATTGGCATTAAGTGAAAATATATTGTCACAGCTATAAGTGATTTATTACTAAAGAGCTAGTTGCTTGAGCAAAGACAGATAACTTCCCTGGGTTTTTGGTCTGGTCATTTTTTTTCCTCATAAAGAAATTCAAATAATACAAATCTAGTATTTTATTAGTTGTATAAGACAGAAAAATGCGCAAATAGTAATAAATTCCTTATAGGAGTGCTAAACATCATATTTAATTTAAAAAGTTAAAATTAATTCACCAGTTTAAAATGATGCTATACCTAATGCAAGATGACCTTAAGCAAAGTATGTTACTATAGGTGTTCTTTTTTTCCTGTGTTTAGTGGCTGTCACCAATGGAGGATAACAAAATTTTTAAAGCAATAATTGGAGTTGAAACTCGGCTTGTGAAAAATGGCAGAACTCTTATAAACTAAATAGAACTTTTCAATGTTGAGAAAAGAAGCCTTATCTTGACTTATCATCAAAATGAACACTGAGCAAAGCAGTCTGACACCAAGCAACTGCAGCAATTGAACAAATACTAAAAAGTAAGGAGAGTTAAGAAGGCTTGAAAAAAACAGATGAGAGGGTTTTCCATGGGGAAAATTCCCATTTTTCACTTAATAAAAAAAGTATTCTCTAAGACATCAAAAATTCTTTTGGGTAGGACTTGCTGGGATTACTCAGTGGACAGTGTAGATTTTCCATGGATTTCCCACGGGAAAAACAGGCTTGCTGGACAGCTTTCCACGTCTGTAAGTGTCTACCTCCGAAAGCAGCAGCAGCTTGGAGGGGAACTGAAAGGAAAGCCAAAACCACAAGTGTAGTGAAAGGCACAGCAGTGTCTTCCACTAAACGCTGGACTCCTCTGTTAAGAGCCATCCTCCGGGGCTGTCACTGTGACTCTGCGGAGCACCGGTAGCAGCCGGGCACAGGCGAAACTTCACTCATGACTGGCAACACTGGCCAGAAGCAGAAAAGCAGGGAGATGAGGCCTCTTCCGAATTTGCCCTGGCCAGCAGGGAACACGCAATGTCGTTTCGATTTGCCCACGGCCGAGATGATTCTGTCTGTCCCCATTGGTACGTGCCTTTCACAGTGGGAGATCTAATAGCTAGATTTCTGTACAATTAAAAGTTATGCTCCAATAATTCTTTTTAATATCTACGCATGACGCAAAATGTTCAACTGAAATCCAGATATCCTCCTGTTGCTGGTCACTGGTGAAATTTCTTCTTTAACGTTCACAGCACAAGGAGCTATACTGGAGGATAGGAGATGTAAGAATAGGTTTTGCTGCTAAAGGAAGAAGCCATCAACTTGTGCATTCACTGTTGACATAAACTTTCACAAGGTTGAATCCTTAGCTATGTTTTTACTCCTTTTGTGGAGTTTTAACAGCATATATATTTTATACGTAGAGAAAATTGATTTTAGAGATGTTAATTTTTTTTCTCCATACACTGCATTTAAAAATAACACTGCATCTCAGTTCTGAATACGCATTGTGAGCTGCAGTACTACTGTGCTAACAAATATTGAGTGTGCTCTGGGTGGAGGGAACCAAAATCAGGATCTGTACTAAAAACCCAGAAAAGCCAATATAGCAAAGAAATGAAAAATTCCTGTGGGGTGAGTGAATGAGCCACCAATGAAATTCAGGGTGCTGAGGATCTCACAAACTGGACGCAAGCCCAGCGGTATTCATTCCCCCATGAACCATGGAAAAGAAGAGAGGAAAGAGATCGTATGGAAGAAAGAGAGGGGAGAACAGAGCCACTGCTGAATTCTTATCCATTTCTGGCCCAAATCCATTAGCCTGAATACCTTCTTATGAGAAAATATCAAGCCATGGTTTTGTCTGCTTACATAACCAATGCCTTACACTGCAGTTCCAAATTAAGTGAGGGGATCCCATCTTACAGCCACTGTAGGTCTTCTGAAAATATTCTCTTACTTTAGTTTTGTCTAGGTATTGCTAGAATTTCACTATGAGAAGCTGCATAGTGACCAGATGTTTTGAATACAGCAGCATTTCTGTATTATTTATTTCAAAATTCCCAATAGTGGGAGGAGAAAGGAAGGAGAAGGGGATTCAGCTGGAATCGTTCAAGACATTTTGATTGAAAAATAAAAATCTTTTCTTTTCCCTTGTATTTCCTTGTTGCCATAAAAAACATAAAGGCTTTTAAAATGCTCAAAATGAAAAAGTTATGTGAAAAATTAAAATGCGTAGTCCAAAAATTTCAAGCCAGACGCTTTCAGCATTATCAGAGTATTTTATACTGTTTATCCTATCGAATATTTTTGTGAAATCACTGTAATTTCACAAAGTATTGCTGTTTAGATGGAACTATCCATTGTCTGGTGGAAAATAGTTCCAGCAAAGTTTTCCAGTCTGTGGAGACTGAAAGGTTATTGCGCTTTTACAACTAGCACGCCATGGAAGCTTTATCATGCGAAGGAGAGAAGTGGCACTGAAGACTGTTCATCGTGTGACTTTAACTCTGCTTTCCACATACCAAGTCTCTGTGTGTGTCTTCGCGCAAGTCCAACAACAGCTGCAGTGTTTGCGGTGGTGGGCTGCATAGCGGACAGGACAGCTCCAAGAGCCGAACTAAACAACCCCGTGCAAAGTCTGTTTACAAGTTTTCTTGCCTTAGTTCAGCTATCCTACCATTAAATTTCTACAAAGCTGTTCATATAACCAAAGGCCATATCTATGATTGACAGCTGGGGAAAAAAAGAAAAGAAAAGAAAGAAGAGAACAAAATACAAATGAGTTAATTCCACAAGCAAAATGCCAACAGGACGTGATTCTTCAAGTAGACTTTATTTTCATGGGAATCATCAGATGCTCCTTCTCCACTTTTGCCATTTGTAGACAGTAGTACTGTGCACTAAATTGGATCTATAATCAGTGAAGCAAACAGCTCATTTTCAGACACTGAGGTTACTGTTTCTGAGCCTACAATTTCCAGGTAAAATATTCATATCACAATCATACATTTTACTTTCATATTCTTAACATTTGTGAATAACACTTATTTGGCAGGGTTTTTTACCTCCTTTGCATGAGATGTGTTCATAAAATCAAGGTTAATAACATAGCTGAGATGTCAAAAAAGTTACAATGTCATCTATATTTGTCCATATGGGATGGTATATGTATTATAAATAAAACATACTTTTGTGAACCTGAACTGAATGTAAACATTAAGTGGATCAAATAAAGTCAAAGATTTAGTCTTTTATTTTCATATAGTAAAACAATTTAGGATTTCAAATACAAATATCATAGGAAAAAACCTGTTAATTCATTTTTCCTTCTGCCCTTCAAGCATATTTGATCAAGTACCATGTGCAGTTAGACAGTAAGTTATTGTAAGTTTGCTATTAATCAGGGCAGTATTTGTGGCTGTTGTTAAAAATAAAAAAAAAAAAAGTATATTTTTGTCTGTGTCAGAAATGTTATATTAAGACTATACCTAACAAAGCAGATAGGAAGCATAATATAGATATATATGTTTTAACCTCATTTGTATTGTATTCAATAGTACCCATGCAATTCAGGAAAGTACTGTCTGGTTTTGGGTCTGTTTTGTCCATCTATTAAAAATAAAGATGTTTATTTTATTACCACTCAGTGTCACCTGAAGTTTTGTGTCACGGGCACAGCCCCGCAGGAGGCCCGCAGGGCAGGTGGCCCTGGCAGAGCAGGAGCTGGCCCTCACCTGGGGGATCAGCAGGGCGACCGTGGCTACTGCCCTGCCCCAAAACCTGGCTCCCATGTTGGAAACAGAGCTCTCATTTCAGTCATCTCCTCCTTGTCCTCACAGCCACAAAGAAGAGCAGGGGCCCCTGGGCTCCAGGGGAATCTACATCCAGTGGGACTCCCTCCTGCAGACCCCTTGCCAGGGACCTTTCTCTTTGGGGTGTTGCACTGGGACAGGGGCTGTGGTTTGGGCTGCAGAGCTGGCAAGGAGAACAAAATGTGCTTCGGGAGTAGGAATGCACACGCCTAGAGATTGCAGCTGGGTTCCACCTTTTGTGTGAGCAGGCTGGAGCAAGGGTTTGATATTTTTTCCTTTTGCAGTGGGACATAAAGTCATCCTGGGCATTGCATGAGTAGAAATACAATCATTTAGAAATAAAAATTTTAGCTGACTGAAAACTAAATCTGTGCTTTTATCCTCCTAATAAGAGTTTGATCTAATGTCCATTGAAGCCAAAGGAAAGACACAAATGGGTGTCTAACCAAATGCTGCTATAATGACACATGCCGAATATACAGTGTATTTATCCCCCAGATGCTTTGCAAAAATATGTGGGCAATACTGTCCACTCATGGATGGGGAAAATAAGGCACACTGGCTTGTTTTCCAGTGCACTGAGTTGTTGTTCACTCATGGAGTGAAGCACAGGCTGGGATTTTCAAGCAACGTTGCATAGCATAGACATTTCCTCGAGGCCATAATGCTCTCATCTCCCTTGCAATTCAGGAGTTTGATCCCCACTGGCACCTTTGAAAAACTGAAGCATGTTTTAAGACAAGAGCCCTGATATCTTGTAACTTGTATCTCAGAATGAAAGCAAGTCCATAACCCTGCAGACTCAAAAAGGCAAG